AGGCCCCAGGCTCAGCGCTCCTTTCCTCCCCTCAGACCCCTTGAATCCCTACAGCCAGCCCCATCCAAAGCAACATTCTCCCCACAACTCATTACAACCTGCCTGGACTCCTCTCACAGGCCTACTTCTGCCCCTCACTTGTGACTCTGAGCACCCCTGCTGCCGCCCCAGCCCCACTCAGACTCCTACAACCCCTCAGCAGGCCCCAGGCTCAGCGCTCCTTTCCTCCCCTCAGACCCCTTGAATCCCTACAGCCAGCCCCATCCAAAGCAACATTCTCCCCACAACTCATTACAACCTGCCTGGACTCCTCTCACAGGCCTACTTCTGCCCCTCACTTGTGACTCTGAGCACCCCTGCTGCCTGCCAGCATTGCCCTGTCATGATTGCACATCTGGCCCCTCTACTGCAGAATGGAAACACTCCACGATTGACAATGAGTTACCCTGTGCTACAGGGTGGGGCTCTTCCCCCACTGAACAGACAGGAACCAACACGGACCAGCTAAGTGACTTGCCCAAGTCACATAGGCAGTCTGTGGCAGAGCTGGCCTTGAGTTTGGATCTCCTGAGTATCAGACTAGTACTCTTGCCATTAGGCCATCCTCCCTCTAAGCTCTAAAGATTCAGAATCCCCCATAGGATCATGTTACAGACAGAGATGTACAATCCCGTTTAACTGCTTAACAGTAAACATGTTTAACCGGTTACCTCAGGGGTGGGGAACTTCAAGCCCAGGGGCCGGATGCAGCCCCCAGCTTGCCTGGATCCAGCCCCCAAGGTTCAGCGGGAGAGTGTCTGCTTCCGGGCTGCGAACAGCTCCTCCCGTAACAGAGGCTCGGCCGTGGCTGGGCTGCTGAGTGCTACTGCCACATAGCAAGTAAGCAGCAGAGAGACGAGCCCTGTCAGGGCTGCTTGCAGGGATGTCGTTTGAGCACTGCTGAGAAGCAGCCCGTTGGCTGACTGTCCGCCCTCGTGGGGAGAAAGGAGTAAGGCTGCCGGGGGCCACCTCCCCTTCAACTCCTCAGACGTTCTAGTCACCAGCAGTGCCTGGCCCCACTGTGCAGGCTCCCCTGTTTTCAGCATGAAGTAGGGTTGCCAGCTTTCTAGCATCTGAAACCAGAGCCTGCCTCTTTCCCCCCAGAGCTTGCCCCTGCCCCACCTCTTCCCCAAGGCCCTCCCCGCCCCTGCCTCTTTCCAGGCCCAGCCCATGCTCTGCTTCTTGCCCAAGGCCTTGCTCTTGCCCAGTTCCTCCCTCTGCCCCCAGGTCCTGCCCCTGCCCTGCCTCCCCCCCAGCTCCTGCCCCTACTGTGTTTCTTCCCCCCCAGTCCTGCTCAGTCCTCTCCACTCCCCTTCCTCCCGAGCTGGGGTCCCGCTGCTCTAGGGCTGGGCTGGCACTTTCAGCCTGACATGGAGTCTGCTGCTTGCCTGCCCACAAGGTGCAGGTAGGAGACCACCCCAGCTGACCAGAGGTTTGTGTGGGTTGAGCCTCGTGCTTCCCCCCTGCCATGGAACTGGACTTGTGGTGCCCGCTCAGTCTATCGGACAAGACCCCCTTTTCGACCAGCCTCTCTGTTGGGAAAGCAGACAGCTGGCAGTGAACTCTGCAGAGCAGACTACCAACCGCCATAGCTTTGTTTACCGGTGTCCGGCTGTTCCCCGCTCTGGCACTCCGAGTGCAGAAGGGGCCCACAAGAGACTTTCAAACACCCTGCCACTAAAGGCTTCTGCTCCAGAACGCCCCACAGTCACAGACACCCTGACACTGGGGGTACCGCTGCCATCACCCAAATGCAACCCCCCTTGGAGAGCCCCGGAAGACACACCTGGGAATGCCTTCCTGTGGGTACCCTCAAGCTCTTGCACTGTCCCTCTGGAGAGGGCTTCAAAACAAACGGTCGTTTCTTACCAGCTGACCTGCAGCGTAAGGGCCTGGGCACACAGAGCCTCCAGCCTCGGAGGGCACAGGACTCAGACGGTAGTCTGAGGGGCGATTTTATTAACAAAACAAAGCAGACTTGGTAACGCCTATTTGGCTGCTAGGAGCGCCAGAGCAACTGAAAAGGCAGATTAAAAACGCGGAGAAATGCTTCCCTGGGATTCAGTTGAAAAGTTACAGTGTGTGGGGCAGGGCGAATGGCTGTGCCCTCCTGTCACCACAGCCTGTCTTCGCTGCTTGGGCAGGAGTCGGATGAGCACCAGACTTTCACTCTGTTTGGCTCTGCAGCCACATCCGTTCACAGTGGGCCTGCTCCTGTCCGCCAGAGTCCAGCCTGAGCCCCTTGGATGGGCGCAAGCTCAGGATGTGGGAGAATCGCCATTCCCTGGCTGCTGGGTTTTCATGGGTGGGGCTTCTTGCCTCCTTCCATTCCACCACCAACTCCCTGTGTGCCACGCTCCCATCCCTGCCTGCACCCCGCCCCATGCCAGGAGATCTGTGTGGCCCCACTCTCCCATCGATCCTGGTCTTCTCTTCGGTCTGGGAGATTCGTTGTTAACCGGGTGGCCATTTTAAACTCTGTTGGGGTGATGAGATGGGCCTGGGAGGCGAAGCTGGAAGGCGTTAACAGCTGCCATCAGCCACTTCTTTGCACCAGTGACAAGTGCAGACATAGCCAGAATTGCTGGCTCTGCTAAGCAGCCCCCGTTTCCCAGTTTTCACCAAAGTCCCCGGTGCTGTGCCCACTCCTGCGTGATGGAATGGACAAGCTGTGCCGTGCGCAGATGCACACGTGAGTGCTGTTGAGTGGCCCGTAAGACCTTGCTGCACTCCGTATTTCATCTGTGCATGGGCTGCATTACTTGCTGTAGGTACTGGACAAGCCCCCGCTCAGAAGCGGCCACAGACATGGCTGGAGCAGCAAGAGCTGTGGGAAGGGGCTGTCTGTTCTGAAACGTGCTGTCTGGCTGCTCCCTGGGAGGGCAGCCGAGGAGAAAAATCCCAGGTCTCTTCCCTGGGCGTGGCTCAGAATGGGAGGAGCGTGTCTCTTCCCTGCTAGTGCGGCCCATTTTCTTCGGGGTCTGCAGGGACTGGCAGCTGCCCCTGAGAGCTTTGGGGTCTCGTGTGGCTCCGTGGGAGAGCTGCGAGTTTTTGTAACTACTGACCCACCACCATGGGGTGGGAGTGTTGCCCTGGGTCAGAAATTGGCTCTGAGAGGAGGAGTAAACAGCTCCCTTTCATCCTGGCAAAAGGCGCAAGGGAGGCTAATGGGGGACGGGTTCTGTGCTAATTCACCTGCTGCTTAATATAGTGCTTAGATCATCTGGACACAAGGCTGAGCAGGGAGGTTGCAAAGTGTGCACATGGGAAAGGAGGGCGAGAGAGGAGTGTGAGGAACATCAGAAGGGGCCTACAATGGCTAATGAAATTCCGGCCTGACAGAGGCAGAGTCGTGTGCATGGAAGGAGCAGTTTGAGCTACTCACAGATGCAGTTAATTTAGATCCGTGTCAGGAGCTCAGCCCAGGGAAAGGACTTGAGCAGCATTTTCGGAAGCTTAATTAGGAATTTTGCTAGTGTGCTGCAGCAGTCACAAATGCAGGCAGAATGTTAGGCCAGTGGGCAGTGATATGTAAAATATTATAATGTCGTTATGTAAATCCACAGGTTGCCCTCACTGAGAATACTGTGTTCTGTGCTGGTCACCCCAGCTGAGAAAGGCTGTAGCAAAAATAGAGGTGTGCAGAGATGGGTGATTATGAACAGGGGCCTGGCAAAACTCACCTAGAAAGAGAGGAAAGATTGGGATTGTTATGTGAGAGGGGACAAGTAGAAGGGGCTGTGATAAAAGTCTACAAACTATGTGCTGCTTTACGGAAGGTAGATCAGGGACATCTCTGCCCCTTTCATGCTACACAAAACAAGGGCAAGTTTAATGAAATGTAAAGGTGGCTGACGTGAAGGTGGTAAAAGGAAGTACTTGGCCACACACCAGACAGCCTCATTGTCGTCGAGTCCAGCGTCTTAACAGAACTCCCAAGAAGGATTTGCCACTTCTGTGAATAACAAGGGCAGTCAGAGTCTGAACAGGAATGCTGAAAAGAGCCGTGAAACGGATGTACCTGCTCCTGCTCCTGGCCCAGGAACTTACAGACCAGCAGTAGCAGAGCCCTGTCCCTGGCAGGCTAGTCCAGGGCTGTCTGCTGCAGCGTTGCTTTCTCTGAAGCAATGGATCTCGACTAAGCCAGCAACAAGGCATGTGGCTTGATGGCCCACTGGTCTGATGCACCCCGTGGCCCTGTGTGCATTCTCCTGGTGCCGGCTGGGCTGTGGGCCCGAGTCCAGTAGGCTTTTGCTAACTGTGTGGAAGAAGGGTGCCTTAATTAGCCTGGGTAAATCCCGCTGAGCTGCGGGAACTTCATCCCACCCGCTAAGCTCAGGAAGGTGCTCTGGGGAGGCTGTGGATTCTGTCACTGGGGGTTTCTGCGGGCAGCTTAGACAAGCCCATCAGATGCTCTAGCTAGTACCTAGCCCTGCCTCAGTGTGCTGGGCACTGCCTGCCGGTCCAGTCTCCTCCCGTCTTCATTCTGGAGTAAGTCAGCCTGAGGCAACTTCCTGAGAGTGACAAAAGCCTACCCTGGAACACTCCCTGTCCCTGGCAAGGGCAAGCACAGCTGCTGCTGCTCCCACTGTTGGCTCTCAAAGCCCCAGAGCAACCAGCTTTGGCTGCCTCCCAAGCTGCTTCCCTGGCAACAGCACTGAACAGAGCTAGCAGCCTGTGCGGGTGCAGAAGGCTCCAGTGCCTGCTGGGTGGGGCAGCCTCCCGGGCACTGGGGAGGAGGCACAGGGGCTACCGTCTGAGGTGGAGCCCCAGGCTGGTTTGGTCTGGTTTGGAAAGGGCATGGCGCTGGCCTGTAAGCAGCCAAGAGTGAAACTTACACACTTGGACACGATGTGAGACCTGGAGCCCCGGAGCCGGGGAAAGGCTGCAGCCAAGTGAAGCTCTGGGGGCAGAGTTGTTGGCAACCCACCAGCGGGCTTTTCCCTCCTGTCTCTCCCTAGGCCAAAGGACCCTTCATCACCGGACTGAGACTCTGGAGACAGTGATCCTGGTGAATCCCAATGTGGACAGCATCATTTCTGAGGTAAGGACCAAGAACGGCCTGTGGCAGCAGGCAGGCGCTGGCACTTTCTGCACGTCCGCCAGGCCTGCTAGCCAAGGCACGAGCATTTCTCACCCCTCATGAGCAGCGTGCCCAGGTCTGGTGTGCAGCCAGCAGCATTCGTTGCAGGCTACGTGCCCAGGGTGCTTACCCAGCAGGAAAAGCCCGGCTTCATCCATTGCCAGAGGTCCCAGGTTCTTCCGGGTCACACGCAGTGCCATGCCACAGTCGCCCTTGGAACCTACGCTGGCTCTTGGGCAGCAAACTCCTGGGAACTGCCTACTTTCTAGAGTGTTTGTGAAGCTCTTCTAGCAGCACAGAGGGAGAGCGTCAGCCCATAAGAGGCAGTGGAGCTGGGTGGGATTCCTGAATGGAGCAAACCTTGCTGCTGGAAACATCTCCAAGCGAGGCTGAGGCTTGGGAGCAAGGAGTGCAAGCTGCTTTGGAGGCAGGGTTTGCAAAGGGCTTCAGGAACTTGTGTACCTAACTCCCTTGTGCCTGTTTGGAAAGCCCAGCCTGGCCTGTAGCTGGGCCAGGCAGGCAGCAGCGATGTCTTTCAGCGCTTCTGCCTCTACAAGCGACCAGCCTGTCTAGAAAAGCCCTGCTTTGAAAAGCAGCTTGTAAATAAGAAATAGCGGGCCTGAGTGCTCAGCGCGACCTAGCACCTCACTGCTCAAGTGCAGGTACTAGAATCTCCCAGCCTGGAGCCTGGTGCTGGCTGAGACTGTGGAATTGTCTCGATAACCATAGAACCCGACAGCCGTAGAACTCCAAACCTGGGTGCTGACAAATGTCTGTCTCACGGTAACAGGTCCGGTCGCTGGTGTGTGATTTGTCTGCCTATAAACTACTGGTCCTGTGTGGGCAGGGCTCAGACCAAGAAGGAGAGCTGACGTTGCAAACTGGGACCTTCACTTATCAGCAATTTGCTGGGATCCTGGCAGATCCAGAGGTGAGTATTGATAGTAATCTGGGGCTTCACCTCCAGCTGGCAGAGACAGAGGGGCAGGAGGAAACTCCACTTCCAGCTCACAGATGCCCTGGCATGCTGGTCAGAAGCATGGCTCTTGATTCTCCCAGTTCTTGAACTAAATTACTATATGGCCTTGGGCAAGTCATCTAAACTCAGTGGTCAACATTTTCCAAAGTGACTAGTGCTTTGGGAGTGCTTTAATTTTTGTGTGCCCCGTTTGTGACACCTTATAGGTGCCTGATTTCCAAAGGGCAGGTGATCCGGCTTTTCTAAAATTCTGTTCCCTTTAAGGTATCTCAGTTGGGCATCCAGATATTGAAACCACCACGATCATATGCCACCTTGGAAAACATGGCCCTCCATTTTAGTTTACTGTTTATCCAGTGAATGTTTTATATTCTCTTTTTCTCTCTCTAGATTGAGAGTCATTTCGTGTGTTATAAATTTTGAGATTGTTGGATAAATAAAAATGCATGGTGATATTGATTTAACTGTAGTCTAGTTCCTCTCTAAAAGCTCTATTGTTATTTATTCTCATTGCTGCTCAGATAAACTATTTTTGTGTCTTTGACAGTTTCAAGCCCCACCTTAGATATGTCTGGTCTGCTTGCAATATTCACTAAGCACTAGGGCCTACAGTTTCAAAACAGTATGCACATGATTGGAATGTGCTTTTGTGGTAAAGAAACATTCAGCTAGCTGGTTAGGAGGGTAGGTCGACTGGACACAGTCACCATAACTACATGGATAACCCTGGAAATCTGGATTTGAGAGTTTATTTTTCTCAGTGTATTGGCTTTTCCCAATGTGACTGTTTACTTCCATTCTTTCATGGGGCCAGACTGTCAAGACATCAGCAGAATAGGGTCTCTTTAGGCAAAAGAACTCCATGCAAAATAGCACTAGCTCTAAAATTCATCAAATGTAAACAGTTTAATTTTTAGTATGGCTTTAGCCAATATCTTTTGCATTTCTGTATAGTTCTGGGGAAGCCTGAAACCGATACATTTTTATCAGAGGATAGATCGCAGCATTTGTCAAATCAGCAATAGGGTCCTAGCCTTTTGAAACCTGGAGCAGGACAGACAATGAATCAGAGTAGGAAAGAAAATCCCAGGTAACAAGGAACTAATGTTTCAGTAGCTAGCCTGCCCAGGGACAGGGCTCTGCTACTGTGTAAGTTCATGGACCAGGAGCAGGAGCTGGTACATCCGTTTCACGGCTCTTTTCAGCATTCCTGTTCTGACTCTGACTGCCCTTGTTATTCACATAAGTGGCCAATCCTTCTTGGAGTCCTGTAAGACGCTGGACTTGATGACAATGTGGCAGTGAGTCATTAACCATCCCCTTGTTTTGTGTGGCATGAAGGGGGCTGAGACGTTCCTGATCTACCTTCTGTAAAGAAACAGATCGTTTGCATACTTTTATCACAGCCTCTTCTGCTAGGAAACTGGGAAATTACACTGAGAAGAAGATGGGATAATGGCCTACCATTGAGAGTTGCTTTGGAAAGAAGAGCTGAGAGAGAGGCTCTCCAGACCAATAGGCAGGGCCGGATTTAGGAAGTGCGGGGCCCAATTCGAACCATTTTGGCTTTAGGAAGTGCGGGGCACAATTCAAACCCGCCCACCCACCCAGGATTTTTTGTTGAGGAAAAAAAAAAACCACACACACCAAACCACAACCACACACAAATATCTGATCAAAATGTATATCAATATGGTTGACCACCCAGGATTTTTTGTTGAGGAAAAAAAAAAACCACACACACCAAACCACAACCACACACAAATATCTGATCAAAATGTATATCAATATGGTTGAACATTTAAAAAAAAATGCCATCCTTTATTATGCAAAATTTTACACAAAATTAAATCAGTTGCCTTAAGTGTAGGTCAAATATTTTCAATTGCAAACTATCCAATTTTTTCAATAAAGGTTAAAGTTTGATTTTTAAAAAGTTACCTGAGAGCGTTGCAGTTTTCTGCTACATTGATTTACTTTTTAAATAGCAAAAATGGAGTCTTTGTTAAGAAAATGTCAGTTCTATGGTCAAATTCCAGTCCTTAGTGATTTCAGCACCAATGATTTCACTAGGTAATATGGTATCTCACCACCATTGCCTCCTTTGCACTGCCCGTCAACACACTGCCTTCATGTTCATAGAATCATAGGACTGGAAGGGACCTCAAGAGGTCATCGAGTCCAGCCCCCCGCCCTCAAGGCAGGACCAAGCTCCGCCTACACCAGGGGTGTCCAAACTTTTTTCAAAGAGGGCCAGATTTGATAAAGTGAACATGCGTGAGGGCCGACCATTTTGCCTGACATTCTTTGAACCATTAAAATTAAATGCAAATTAACTATTTTATGCAAAGTTTATTGCAAATGGCATACTTTTCATTTTGTCACATGGATGACAAATCTAAACAGGTGTTAAATCGCTCTGCCTTTCATATCTGAAGGCCAGATGAAAAAAAAAAATCCAGGAAGCTGAAATATATGTCAGGAACATTGTAAAGTACATGACATATTATTGGTAATAAAGGTTGTCTGTCAACTTTTAAGTTCAAAAAATATGAACAGGAACATAACACCAAG